GAAGGCATAGAAATAGTGTCAACCTTCGGTTACTCTCGATATTATTTATTCAGTTTCTGGACCAATGACCCGTATTATAAACTGGATAGAGCAACAACTCAATCCTACTGTGGCCATAGTTTTAGTGTCATTGCTATATACTGAATTGCGCCATGAGATAACTTTCTCCCATACCCGGGAGTGATGAATCCTCTATAAATCCACCATAGCCTTGATACACTCCTTGATGCAGCCAATCACCACCGTATTGATAGCTCTGAAAAGAACTATGTTAGGCTATGTCAAACTACACCAATCGGTGCACAAGGCACTTCGGTGATCTCAAGTCTAAGGATCACATGCACCACCATTCGTTAGAGGATTTGTTCCATAGACACTGGGGTTACCATCCATATGGAATCCTCTGGTGGGTTAGTCTAGTGAACTTACTACGGTATAATCACCTACAACAAGCACCCATGTGTTGCACCAGGTTGTCGCCAAACAACCTTGACAAGTGAGATCAGTTACTGCCTTTCGACAGGGTCGTTCAACACTATGATAGCCTTGCCGTATTATATGTGCCCCCTTGCCGTATTATATGTGCCCTTACTTTAGAATAATACTGGGGCTATGGACATTTCTAGAATGGCCACCATATGTGCTCATAGGGTTTTCACTATCAAGATTTGAAACGCTTGATACCCTCGTCACGATTCTACCACTCTAAGGACATTGCAATAATAATGATTTACGCGATATAGAATAAAATGCCTTTTTATTGATTAATGAACATTATTACAAAAAGTCAATTCTACAATAATTGATTGGCTCTAGGGCCTCTACTCTAACATAATCGAGAAAGAAAACAGGTTGGATGGATCCAGTTTCTCATACTGGTATCGTAATCTTTGGATTATACTCAAGTCGGAAAGGAAATTGTATACCCTTGAAAATCCATACATGGCTGATCCTGATCCTGATCCTGATCTTGATGCCACTCAGGAGGTAAATAATACTTATCAAAAGTTCCTTGATGATGCATATGGCGTTCAATTCTTGATGTTAGCATCGATGACACCAATGCTACAAAAGCAGCATGAGAATATGGACGTTGCTACCATTATTCTACACCTCAAGGAGTTTTTCGAAGGGAATGCTCAACATGAGAGGTACAAGGTGTCAAAAGCACTATTTTGAAGTCGTCTGACTAAGGGAGCCCAAGTTGATCCTCATATGCTCAAGATGATCGAGCACATAGAGCGGCTAGAGACTTTGGGATTTGAGTTGGATACAGAATTACAAATGGATTTAATTCTATAATCGTTGCCTGACTCTTATGCACCGTTCATAATGAACTTCAATATGAACATAATGGTGAAAACCTGTCAGAGCTTTTGAACATGCTGTGGACTGCAGAGTATGACTTGAAGAAGTCCAAGCCTGTTTTACTGGTTGCTGTCAGTAAAGGAAAGGGTAACGGGAAGGATAAGGCCAAGGCCAAACCCAAGTCCAAGCCCAAAGGATAGGTTGCTCTTGGGCCTGAGAGTGGCATAGGGAAGGGCAAAGTAGTATGCTTCTATTGTGGCAAGCCTGGCTACTAGAGGAAACACTACAAGGCTTTCTTCGCAAGCAAGAAGAAGTCAGATGCTGCAACTTCAGGTATATTTATGATTGAGATTAACTTCGCTCCCTCAACATCTTAGGTCATTGACACTAGATGTGGTACTCACATTTGTACTAATGTGCAAGGACTAAGGTAGAGTAGAGTGCTCGCCAAGGGAGAGGTGGACCTACGAGTTGGAAGTGTAATGCATGTGGCTGCATTGGCTGTAGGGACTTACTGTTTATCTTTGCCTATGGGTTTGTTGTTGGAACTACATAACTATTATCACGTACCTTCTATTTGTAGAAATATTATTTCAGTATTTGCTTTGGATAATATAGGGTATCATTGTGAGATATCTAATGGATTGTTATCCTTTAGTTTGAATGGTATTCTATTTGGAATTGCAAGGTTATATAATGGGTTATATGTTCTTGATTTAAACAATAAAGATATTCTCAATGTTGAAACCAAGAAAGATAAACATAGTGATCAAAACCAGACATATCTCTAACACTGTAGATTGGGTCATGTTAATAAGACCCGCATTACAAAAATTCAAAGGGATGGAGTTTTGGGCCCTTTGACTTTCAGTCATTTGAGGTATACGAGTCATGCCTGTTAGGCAAGATGACCAAGTCTTATTTCACAGGACAAGGTGAAAGGGCTACTGAACTGTTAGGCATCATCCATAGTAATGTATGTGGTCAACTAACAGTTGAAGCCAGAAGTGGATATTCATACTTCATCACATTTACTGATGATTTTAGTAGATAAGGTTATGTCTACCTTATGAGATATAAATCTAAAGCCTCTGATAAATTCAAAGAATTCAGGAATGAAGTATAGAATATGTTGGGCAAAAGTATTAAAGCTCTTCGATAGGACCAAGGAGGTGAATACTTAAGCTTAGGGTTTTTTGAATACCTGAAGGAATGTGGGATAGTATCATAGCTCACCCCTCCGTATACAGCCCAACACAATGGAGTATTTGAAAGGAGGAATAGGACCTTACTTGACATGGTTAGGTACATGATGAGTTTTAGTGATCTACCTGCATCATTCTAGGGTTATGCCCTAGAGACTACGACTCACGTTTTGAACCGTGTGTCGTTAAAGTCTATAGGTAAGACTCCATATGAACTATGGAGTGGACGAAAGCCCAATTTGTCTTATCTAAGGATTTGGGGTTATGAAGCTTATGTTAAGAAATTAACTTCGAACAAGCTGGGCCCAAAATCCTGTAAATGTATATTTGTGGGGTATCCAAAGGAGACCAAATGATACTATTTCTACCACCCAAAAGAGCGCAAAATTTTTGTTGTTCATTCTGGTGTCTTCCTAGAAAGGGAATTTTTTCTAAGAAGTACTAGTGGGAGAAAAGTAGAACTCGATGAAGTTCTAGAACCACAAATTATACTAGACGAAGGATGGGATGATGTGCCACAAGAAGTGGTTAAACATCATGAGGAGGTTACTTCACAAACTATGGATCAAAATGAACCACCTCAAGTAGCATAGGAGCTACGTAGATCTAGGAGAGTACGCCATGAGCCCAAGAGATACGGTTATCTCGTGACTCAACATGGTGACGTACTAGTCTACCAAGACGATGAACCCAAAACCTACGAAGACGCTATATCGGATCCAGATTCTGTTAAATAGCTTGAAGCCATGAAATCTGATATGGACTCCATGTAGCATAACCAAGTATGGTCTCTGGTGGAACCACCTGAAGGGGTAAAACCTATAGGGTGTAAGTGGGTCTTCAAGAAGAAGACTGACATGGATGGCAAGATGCATACTTATAAGGCACGACTGGTTGCCAAAGGTTTCAAACAAATTCATGGTATTGACTATGAAGAAGCCTTTTCGCCAGTTGCCATGATTAAATCCATCTGGATTATGCTTGCGATTGTTGCATATCATGACTATGTGATTTGGTAAATGGATGTCAAAACAGCTTTCCTGAACGGAAACCTTGAAGAGGATGTGTATATGACACAACCTGATGGTTTCATTCTTGATGGGCAAGCTGATAGGGTATGCAAGTTGCAGAGATCCATTTATGGACTCAAGCAAGCTTCAAGGAGCTGGAACATTCATTTCGATGAAACTGAAAAAGAATTCGGCTTTATTAAGAATGAAGATGAGCCTTGTGTTTACAAGAAAGTGAGTGGGAGCACAGTGGCATTCCTAGTGTTGTATGTCGATGACATACTTTTGATCGGGAATGATATACCGAACTTGTAGTCAGTAAAGACTTGGTTATCCAAGTGCTTCTCCATGAAGGACTTAGGGGAAGCAGCCTACATCCTTGGAATAAAGATCTATCGTGATAGAGCCCATAGGTTGCTTGGCCTAAGTTAGAGTGTATATATTGACAAAGTACTGAAAAGATTCAGTTTGGAAGAATCCAAGAACGCATTTCTTCTGATGTCACATGATGTTTATCTCTCTAAGGAATTGTATCCTTGAACATAAGTTGAGAGAGATAGGCTGAAGAGGATTCCATATGCATCAGCAATTAGATCCATCATGTATGTCATGCTATGTACTCAGATTGATGTCTCATGTGCTTTGAGCACTTGTAGTAGATATCAATCGGATCTAGGTGAGCGTCACTGGATGGCTGTCATGAACATTCTTGAGTACCTGAAGAGCACTAAGGATATGTTCTTGGTTTATGGAGGGGAAGATGAGCTCACTGTAAGAGGATACTGATGAGAATGCAAAATGTCATATTTACCCCCCTTAATGTCTCATCTTTTATACTTATTTGTTGCCTAAATGTACTCATTATTATTCTACTTTTATTTAGGATGCAAATGGAGGCTTGAAATGCAAAACAGAACTACTTAGGTGAATTCAGACAGTTTCGACATTGCTTTGTAATCTGGGCATACCTCTCTCATTCGAGCTTCGATTTAGATGATTAAAAATGATGTGGAACCCTAAGAAAAAGATCTAAAACTTTCATGTTTTGAGTTTGGAGAGATACTCGCTGCATCAAGGTTGTAATCGGGCTTGAAGTTGACGCACCTGCACTGCTGACGTTCTGGAACATTCTGCCCTATCATGCAAGTCAATTAGGCAGTTTATTATTGGAAGATTTGAAGACCTATTGCACGCAAGTTACAGTTGGACACACCACTTTCCTATTTTATTTTAGGACTTTATTTTATTTTCAATTAATCAGAATCAGATTAGGATAAATGTTATTTTAGGATATTAGAATATTTTTAGGAGATTTAGTAGAATTCAAATACTTGAATTGGATATTTTTAAGAGGAGAGAGAGATCAGATTAGGGGGGACACACATGCCTCTCTTTCTCTCTTTCTGTAATTTTCTCTTTTGATTTTCGTGATGGCCATGAGCGGCTAATTTTCATAACTTGGTCGAAGGAAACGGATGCCTCGGAATCAATAAACTGTGAGATCTAATTTGTTTGTTTTAGTGTTCAATATATGTTTTGAGTATTGGATGTTCTTCCATGCCTATTTTCATGATTGTTTCATTTAATTACTAGGAGGCCTACTAGATTATTATTTGTTGCAATCTATTGCTTAATTTGATATCAAATCCGTAATTGTTTGATCCCTCTAATTTGTGAGTAAATAAGAGTTAAGAATTTGCTACGTCAGGAATTATTAATTCTTAAGAAGAACATTCGACTGAATTAAATATAACCGCTTGTGTTTGTATTGTTCATCTTCATCGATTTCTCTAGCCCTTAAGGCTGCTATTAGATTAAACCTTTAGCGCTTGTCCAGGGTTGTTTAGTAGTAAGGTTAATTAGATTGCTTGTTTTCTAATTAACTTCAACTAAGGAGAGATAGGAAAATAGTTCCAACAGTGAATATTCAAAGTATGAATTGATTTATTTTTGCATCGATGATCAGTTGTAAGATTCCGATGGTGGATGTTGACTTAGACCAAGGTTCGTTATTTTGATTGATTTCGATAGTTGAATTGTTTTTTTTTTTTTTGGAAATTGTTTCTGTTTTACTCAAACTCCCCCAGCCTTGTTCACATATCATAAAATTCGGTTAGACACTCTTCGTGGGAATGATCCTTACTCACACTACTACATGTGTTTTTAGGTTTTAATTTTGGTTGCCTACGACAGCACACAAGATACAGTGATGCTAGTTTCCAAACGGACAAAGATGATTATTGATCGCAATCAGGGTTTGTATTTTGTCTCAATGGGGGTGTAGTGAGCTAGAAAAGCTCCAAGCAAAGCACTGTAGCAGACTCTATAATGGAGGCTGAGTATATTGCATTAGCAGATGCGACCAAGGAAGCAGTCTGGATTAAGAAGTTCGTCACTGAACTTGGTGTGGTTCCCATGATTGTTGATCCAATAGACATCTATTGTGACAACAATGGAGCAATCG